TTCATTAACAAGTAAAGGAGTGTTAGTACAATCGAGTCGTTCGACCCAAAGTAAATCAAGATAGATTTCAGCATATTTAGGGTGTGGGTGGGTGTCGGTGTGAGGTAGGTATAGTTGAAGATAAAACACTCACTCACTCCTACACTCACACTCACAGTCGCACCCATACCCACCCCACACCCACACACACCCTTCTTGTATACTTGTCGTCGGGTCAAAGATCAGAAAAACGTGTTCTTAGAAAAGACCACAGATTGAGGTTTGACCAACGGTGTTCAGGGTGACGCAGCGACAGCTGAGCCTCGGACAGTTGAGCTCCCGACAGTTGAGCCTACCAACAGTTGACCCTTTTATGTATAGTTTTGGCCAAAATAAGTTATAAACTATTTGTACATTGCTCACTGCGATTCGATAATACACTACATAAGGATATATATAACTTATTAGTGATTTTCCTCGCTCAGTACACCAACGATTCTTTTCTAAAGAACTAAAAAGAATTCTTAATACTTGATTAGTTATTCATTGGGCGAATAATACATATATCTGAGGGTGTGTGGGTGTGGGTGTGAGTGTGGGATGTGGATTTGGGTGTGGGATGTGGGTGTGGGTGGGTGAAACGAAGATCCAAACTCACACCCACCCACACCCCACACATTCACACCCACATCCACACCCACTATAAAAATTGTTAAACGTGCTTTATATGAAGAAATAGACGAACAGCTCCAAAATCTAGTTGCTAATTTTAATATATATCCTCGAAAAGAATATTTCAAGAAAGCCAGAGCTTTATTTAATTTTTAAATTTTTATTAATAAACTTTTCATCTTTATAATGTATAAAAGGCTCAACTGTCGGGAGCTCAATTGTCGGTAGGCTCAACTGTCGGGGCTCAACTGTCCCAGGTTCAACTGTCGCTTCACCATTCAGGGTTGGGGAATCCGAATCGGAAGTCTAATCCTAAAAATGTTGGGCTTGATTATCCGGATGAAGGAAAGGATTTTTCGAAAAAATAACGATATTTTATAAAGGTTGACGAAAGTAAATCGGGGCCGAGGAATCCGAATCTGAAGTTGGTTTCTGAAAATTTCAAGTTTTTGTCTGGTCGCCAGCTTACCAACTTAAATGTTTTCGGTGTTCGACTATGAGTCTGTCAAGCTTTTTTCCACTAGTAGTCATTTAATGAGTTCCTATTTCTTTCCTTATCAGCTGATGTCGTGAGGAAGGATTGATGTGTAATTCACACATTTTCTGTGATACTAATGTGGCATCAGTGACTTTTTTAGATGGCATGCGTTCTACCTTAGCTGATAAGTTGCATCAGATCAGCTTTATTGTAGATTGTTTTATCTAGATATGATTCTCGAAATAGATAAATGGGAGAGAAAAATATAATGGATAGAATCCCATTCAGGGTTCCACCAATCTTCGAATTCACGTCATCACTAGTAATTCTGAAACTCAAAGCCTAGTTTTAGTCGACCCGACATTAACGTTATTTAAGTCTACAGTCATTACATTTAATTCTGGCTAAGTGTTCAATTATTGGCATATCTTTTCAGGAATTCTCACTCGTGTAATTTCTATATAGTCTGGATGCCGCGAAAAAGTTAATATAAAAATATATTTGTGAATGAGGGGACAACTTTCATGATAAAGGCAGAAAAGCCAACTATTGTTTTAATGTATTCAAATAATCGAGCGAGTGACCACTAGTGGCACCCCACAGAGGCGCCGTCGAATGATTGGTCGCTAATATTGCAAACGCACTCTAATTTCGCTCCAGAAAAGATGTATCTGAAAGCTAGATTTATTGAGAATAGTGTACTAAGATTTCCTGAATCAAAAACTCTTATAAAACCTTAACTTTCATCTAGACAATTAGGTTTTAGAAATAAAGAATAGTTAATAATAAAGTGTCGGTTCGGAACTGCTCATCGAGAATTCTCGCGTTATAAATGTAACAATTTTTCAAGTAAGAGCAGCCTAGAATTTAATAGGTGTCAACCAAAGAGGACTATCTCAAGACAGAATAGGATTACACGTGGTAGCGGTTAGTCACTCGTCAGCGCCCCTTCGGATTGTCACTCACAGCTAGCTGCTGCACTGGAAAATCTTTTGAAGAGCCGCTTTAAACTGTTGGGATCCATCGAATAAAACGTCAACAGTCGAGATCTAATGGGTTTGAATACAGACTAGCATTTGCTAAGAACTAAGAAACATTCTGAAATAAACTGTGGGAACGGGTTTGCTTCAAGGGCACAATATTCGATTAGTACATTCAAAGAAAAACATCACTCAAAGAATTTATATTCGCTGCATCAAAAGTAGATACGAATGAAATATAAAGAAGTTTTTTTTGTTGGTGTGTTCTTGTCTGAGTTCATTCACATGTGGGAACGTATACAGGCATATTCAGACGGCTAATCAGAGTACGAGCTTCTTTTAAGCATGGTATTCTGATTACAGATCAGATATAATATGATTTATTTTCAAGTAGAAACTAAGCTAATATTCTGTTTTCTAGCGGACGCTCTAGTAAACAACATTGTCAGCAGATGTGCTGGTAAGCATACGGGTTTCTAGTAGAATTTTTATAAGTATGCCGCGTTTTCACAATGGTGTCGCGAACGCTTTTTGCTTCGTGACCTGTCAAAAGGTTAAATATAATCTTCGTTTTTTTGGATGCGTGCGGATGCTGCTGCCGTGGTGTAGTTCATTTAGGTTTCAGTGTGAATTAATGTGTGGATATCAGTTTGATTAGATGAATTTATGACAAAAATGATTACACAGACCCTTATACCATTGTGGATGAAGAAACTGATGCTAAAATCAACTTCTACACATCTACCCACCCTTTTAAAACGTTGGATACGAGCTTTGTTGAAGAGTACAAAGCAGTATATAACACTAAAGCAGCCGAATATTCAGTCGAGGGTCAAGCGAGTCACACGGACGAACATTACTTGTCTTTTCATACATATGCTATTTCTGTAATCCTTCAATAAAAAAAAACAAAAAATTATGAAATACTCTAGAGAATTGTAAATATTTAACGAAAATACGTTTTGAGGTTACATTTCATTCATTATTACTGTTTACCTGAAGGGTTTCTCTTTTGTTGATTTAGTGGCACTTATTTTACAAAAATCCCTAATCGACTCGTTTTCTAAATAATATTATTTATTTTTGAAAGTACACAGCAACGGTAGTAATATTTGCATAAATACTGCTAAAAACACATCATTACCTACGTAGTAGTCAGGTCTTTGTGCATGTGAAATAGTGATTATTCGTATACAAACGAAAAGAGAAAAATATTTCAAACCTATTGGCTATTTAGTTTCATGAATAATCTGCACATTTTATGTGCACTCAGAGCATATTCTTGAAGTCTCTTATCAAAATTATTTATTTTCAAACACTTGGCCTTGAATCAAACACACCGTTGGATGACCATCTCAGCTACTCTTAAAATATATTGTACATTCTAACATAAAAGATATTTGGCAAACTGAGGGTGTGAGTGTAGATGTGAGTGTGATTCGATTAGTTGAAATGACATCTGCTTCCACCCCCACCCACACACTCACCCTCACACCGACACCGACACCCCAACAGAAAAACTATTTTTTGCCCTGAAAATCAATTCTGTTATTTGCCTTCGCGGAGTTGCATCGCATAGTCAGAGAGCTGCCAATAAATTGCAAAACAAATATAAGCCTTTGCAAAAGAAAATAAATACCACTATGAGGTTTATAAGCATCGAAACATGACATTATTTTTATTCTGCAATACTGCGTAGCATCACTAATATGTGGATTATAATAGCTTCATTACTGTAAGTTGCTTGTATTCGACAATGTAATTCATAAACGCAGTTTTTTCTTGTCTAGATGTATTGCCAGCGTGTCAGGTAAGAGCACCGACTGATTGCTAAGTCAATTTATATAGTTGAACTCTGTGCAGGGCAAGTATCAAACAGTTCACAATGTCACCCTGAAGCATGCAGTGCTCGAGTTGTACCTTGCTCAACTAATTTGGACTGCGAATGCCTTCCACTTAGCTCAGGCGTAATTGGTATATGTGCTGCGTGGCTGCAATGCTCTAGTTTAACACCATGCGCTAGTGATAATTCAACATGTGCAGTGCCATACACTGTTTGTGTTGTTAGTAATCGCTGTGGCAAGGCAGTGTGCTATCCACTAGCACTGGCCGCTCCTCAAGTTTGTCCACAAGTCAATTCAAATGTAACTGTATCAACACTTCCAACAACTTCAGGTATTTGCAAATAAATGATATGCATCAGTAAAAAACAGTATTATTTATCATCTTGAGTATGCAGATGAATAAAAATGATCAAAAGGATAGTCAAAGTCAAAAAATAAGAGTAATGCATAACATTTTCGAAGTGTCGATGATTGTCGAGAAGCAAGGGATTGAGCATCCAGAAGAAATTATTATTCGTTTTCTGGGTGAAATTGCTCAAGGATAAAGCCGCATTATGTTGAGTTTCGAGTTTTTTTCGTTTCTATACGTTAAATATGACACATAATGTTGCGCTGAATCCTTCTTATTATCCAATCAGCTAGTTCACCCTCAGATAGAGTCACTTATAGGCGACAAATATGTTTGCTTCCATTCAAA